TATCCCTCAACCGAACTGTGGTCTATTGGGAAGATGTGTTCCTATCCGACCAAGTTCATGTTCCATCCACAGTCCTTCCTAAAGAAAACGTGATTCTACAGACATGGAACAATGGACACAACAACACGAAACGGCTTGTTTCTTCTGGATATAGAACCATTGTTTCGTCTGCAGAATTCTACTATCTGGACTGTGGTCATGGGGAATTTGTTGGGAATGATTCCCAGTATGATATTCAAAGTGGAAACCAAGGGAATGGAGGGTCTTGGTGTGGACCTTTCAAGACATGGCAACTTATCTATAACTATGATATCACATATGGGTTGAGTGAAGATGAGGCAAAGCTAGTTCTTGGTGGGGAAGTAGCATTGTGGTCTGAGCAAGCAGATCAAACTGTGTTGGATTCGAGACTTTGGCCAAGAACATCAGCGATGGCGGAGTCACTGTGGTCTGGTAACAGAGATGAGAAGGGCGTGAAGAGATATGCAGAGGCCACAGATAGATTGAATGAGTGGAGAAGCAGAATGGTAAGCAGAGGCATAGGAGCTGAGCCCATTCAGCCACTATGGTGTGTTAGGAATCCTGGTATGTGTAACTATGTATAAAAAACTGATAAACACTCACCGAAATAGGTGTCACTATTATTCACTGATTCAAACACTTGATGATACTTTATTGCTTCCTTGCCCAGCCCTTGCTAATTCATTCTTCTATGAGAATGATTGATGTTCAGTCAGTTGTAATTGTAAATGTTTTGATTTTGAATGTGATTAAGGGCCATTTGTTTGTTTAAGATTTAAAAAAGAAGTGATTTTAGTCAGGTTAAACCTGAGAAAGTTGTTGGGTATATGATGGAGTTACTGGGAGAATTTAAGTTAAATGCGTCAGGAATGTGTTGAAAAAACAAGTTATTTGGAATACTTAAAAAATAAAAAGGTACAAAAAATTATTTTTTCCAAAAAAGCTTCATGATTAATTTAAAGTTTTTCAACAACTCAGGTGTTAAATTTAAATCACTTTTTTCTTTAATTCTTAACAAATTGGCCCCAAGTCTGATTCAATTCATTGTTAAATGTTAATGATATGGTCTTATTTCAAAAATTATTTTGATCGATTGTTTGTATTAGGACAAAAACTTGTTTCAGTCATTGAGAGATGCCATCAACTTGTCAGTATCGATTTGTTATTCTAAAGTTTTTGTATCACTTTTTGTACAACAAAAGTATGAATCTATTTCATCCCCCCACCCAGAAAAAAAAAAAAAAAAAATCCAGAAGCATGAGGTTCAGAGTTATGAGAACTGAATTAGCTGGTTCGATCGGGAACTGATCACATGAATAAGATATAATGAGAAACCCAAAAAGGAGAAGGACCAGTCAAAATGGGTAAAACTAACTGAACGGTAATTGGACTTGTTATGTAACTTTCTTTTTGTTCACACATATACTTGGCAATATATATATATATATATATATATATAAGTATAATTTTATATATATAAGTATAATTTTTAACTAAAAAATCACAAATTATGAACATGAGTGATCCACGTGGTATTACACTTTTATCAAATATTGATAGTAAATAAGTGAGGCAAAAGTACATGTACATTAAAAGAGGGAAAAGCATAAAGCTGGATCCAATTGATCCTGTCTATAGATCGGTCTTATTTTTCTGGAGCCTGGGTCATAAAGTGGGCCTTGGTGCCCCATTATTCATGAAACGGGCCTTTTAATCGGACCCATATGCATCTTCGTTGTTATTTTTGTGGTTTCTAAAATATCCACCAACAATGAAATTGATAGTGTATCCACTCCTTGCATAAAAAAAGAAGTCGTATATCATAATATTGAAAAAAGTAATTTTCAATAAAGTCTTAAAAAATACTTCCTCCATTATGGATTTATCCATCAACAATGTTGCCCCTCCTTGTTAAATCCTTCAATTGGCAAGAGATTTTAATAAATAAGACTTATATACTTATTCTTATATATTTAATATACTTTTATCAAATCAAATTAAGACATGAAAATTTAATGTGTTATTAATATTAATAATAAGAATTTGTTATAAAATAAATAATCTATACAAGATATATATATCTTGATTTAATTAAAAACAAGCACCTTAAATATAAGCATTAATATATAAGTTTTTTTCATTTTAATATTAGTATTGATGGTGACATGCTAGCATTAATTTCTACTCTATCGGTCTTTTTTTATAATATTTAGGTTAAAGTATACTTTTAGTTCTTTAATTTTATATAAGGTTTTAATTTGGTTCTTTAATTTTATAAAGTATCTTTTTAGTTCTTCAATCATAACATTATAATTTTAAATAATTATTTTTGTATCAATCATTGTTATTTTTAAAAAAATTAAACTTAATATGTTAACATTTAAGAATATTTTATCAATATTTGAAAGTTTAATGTAAAAATTTGTTAGGATAAAACTAATAGTATTAAGGTTAAAGGACTAAAAATACACTTTATAAAGTTAAGGGATAAAAATAAAGTATAATGTAAAATTAAAAGGATTAAATATATATTTTAACATAAGATCTAATTTTAAGAGATATAATATCCTTTTGGCAAAAGTATACTTTCGTCCTTTAATTTTTTATAGCATTTCAATTTAATTTTTTAATTTTACAAAATATCTTTTCGATCTTTTAACCATAAAACACTGTTAGTTTTAATTTGTGTCAATCATTATTGTTTTAAAAAAATAAACTTAATATGTTAATATTTGAAAATATTTTGCCAACATATTTAAAAGTTTAATGTGAAAATATTTTATAATAAAACTAACAGTGTTAAGATTAAATAATTAAAAATATATTTTATAAAATTAAGTAATCAAAATAAAATGTTACTCCCTCTAATTCTATTTATAGAGCAAAGAGAGAAAAATTTTTTGGTTCAATTTATAAGTCACATCATTAAATTTTCATTAAAAATTTTTCAATTTGACCTCCATTGAATGTTGGAGAGAGAAAATACATTGTTAAAGCATAAATATTTAATAAGGGTAAAGTTGAGAAATTATTAAATTTTTATATAGAGTTAATAAGTTTTAAAATTTTTCTTGATTATGGTGAAACATGTTAGAAGTGCTTTATAAATAAAATAAGAGGAGTATATAAACTTAAAGGACTAAAACTACTCTCTTTGTCCTAAATTATAAGACATTGTTAGATAAAATTTCGCATATCAATAAATTTTATTAAATATATTCAACAATTTTATCTTTTTAAAATAAAAATATAAACTTTCAAAAATATCTATCATTTAATACATTGAAAAAAAAGGGACAAAAATTAATTATAGAGAGAGAAAGAACAATATTAAAATTGATGCATTTAATAAAATTTTAATCTATTTAAAGTATCTTATATTTTTTAATAATTTTTTTAAAATATTTTATAATTTAAAAAGGAGGGAATATGTGTTAGGATCATTTTCACAATTCTAAGCAGATAAATAGGATGCAAGCACCTAGACGAAAGTTCCCAGGTGGGTATTCATCACGACTTGATCGTGCACAATTTATAGGGCCATTTATGTTTTCTGGAAATTACTAGATTATCCCTTTTCCGGAAATTATTTGTTTATCTGTGTTTCTTTACTGTCACGGATCACCATAAATATTTTGGACCATACGTGGAATCAACTGTGGAAAAGCCAAACTTAATAATTTAGAGATCTTCTTTTTCAACCAATCCAGCTTTCATCAAATAATTAGAATATGCTGACAAATATACCCATAATATATGATTAGATCATAATAATTTTATGAAAAAAATTAATTATTTAATTCTTATAGTTTTAATTTAATTATAACTTAATCCTTAAACTTCAACTCATTATAATTCAATCCTTATTATTTTGACTTAATTGTAACTTATTCCCTAAATTTTGACTCTTACAACCCATTCTTTATAATATTAAACATTCAAAATATTGGTCCCTATATGGTAAAAAATAAAATTTTAAATATTAACATGATGTTACAGTAGTTTAAATTTTAATCTCTATAAAGATTATAAACCTTAAAATTTTAAAGTAGTTTTAATTTTATAGTTTTATTTTTTAAAATATAAGAATTAATATTTTAATTAGTTAAAGCTATAGAGATTGAGTTGCAGGAGTCAAAATTCAAAGATTGGGTTTACAATTAAATCAAAACTATAATAACCGAATTACAACAATCAAAATTCAAAACTATAAGAATCAAATGATTAAATTTTTCTAATTTTATAGGACAATTTTCACTGACCAATGGTAGATTAGTGTATTTAATGAGTTACAACTATAAAAGATTAATGAGTTACAACTAAATTAAAATTATAAAGATTAAATGATTAATTTTTCTTAATTTTATAGGACAATTTTCACCGACCAATGGTACATTAGTGTATTTAATCAGTTATAACTATAATGGATTAATAAGTTATAACTAAATTAAAACTATAAATATTAAATGATTAATTTTTCTAGTTTTATAGGACAATTTTCACCGACCAATGGTACATTAGTGTATTTAATTCACCAAACCTGTTTTAACATATCGATTAGCGGCGTGCGGAGTGGTACAAATAATGATTATCATGAGATTCGGTCATACAATACTTAGAAAATCACCAAATCTTAAATTATTGGAGGAGATGGTGTACATAATGAGGGTTTCGATCGTGATAGTTGTTTTGGATTTTTAAAAAGGAAAACGTATCTTGATAATTTTAAAGTGTTGATAAAACCGCTAATAGCTGTATTTGAGAAACTTTGAATGAATTTAGGCCATTCACTGGAATATTGGATCCAAATCTGTGACTAATATCTATACATCACCGCTTACACTGCCTCAAGACACCAAAATTTCAGGTTCCTTTTGCTTATTTTTGCAAACGCGACAAGCTAAGAAGTTAGCCGTTCTGATTTCTTCTAGTGTGTGGCAAGCAATGTGAAATGACGAAGATGAGAGGGTCACTCCAAGCGGCGCCTATCATTCCAAAGCAACATTTACTTCCTATTCTAACACTTCTCTTTATATACACACACAAGAACATATAAAGAAAATGATTCAAGTAGACTCAAACCAAAGAAATTAATAAACGCGTTTTTCTTCTGATACTAAACCATGAATCCTTCTCACTTTGTGCCTTCACTTCTGGTTCTGCTGGTTCTGCTAGCTGCTTCATCTTCCAGTGATGGTGCAATTACGTGTGACCAAGCAGTAGGGTACTTGAAGCCATGCAACGAGTACTTGACCGGCCCGACTGGGGCGAAGCCGCCGCCGGCGTGTTGTGACGGAGCCAAAGCTTTGGTTGCTGCAGCTTCTACGCCGGAAGATAGGAAGGCTGCTTGTGAATGCGCTAAAGCTGCTGCTAAAACCATCAACGTCAATCTTCAAAATGCTCATGATCTTCCTGATAACTGTGGCATTTCCTTGCCGTTCGAGATTTCTCCTGACTTGGACTGCAACAAGTACGTTTTAATTAATTAACAATTATGGGCCGGTTTGTTTAAAATTAAAGAAAAAATATCTACGAGGGCACCAGATTCAACTGAACGAAGGATTTGGCTTACTTTGCATTTCGGGTTCATGTTTTGGATATGCAGTTACATTAAATATAAATGCCGAAAATATGTCTGAGGTATTGGTGAAGCTGCTCTTGCTAAGAACAGTCCCGCATAGTCATAGTGGGGACTCGGATTAGACTAAATGGGTGGTGGTAATATCCCTGGGTTTTCCAAATATCGGGGATGGAATAAAATAAAGAAAATTAAAGTGATTTTATTTAAGTTTAAAGTCTGATTTGTTGGGAGTTTTAATTTAATGGTTTAAATTAGTAAAAGTGATTTTTAAAAAATGGTTTCCCTTTCACTACTCTTCAAGCAATTAATAAGGCTTGGTTCTGAGAAATTTTAATTTTAACAAGATTGATTCATAAAAGTCGGGTAAGTTAAATCAATCATAGAATATCGGCCACAGAAAATGATTATGTCGGATATATTTTGTTTGATTTAATCTATTTAATTATGCAAAGAATTATATAATTTGATATATTTATATATTCTGGCAAAAGAGAGATACGTTTATTTTTTTTGAAAAAAATTTATTTACTTAGCCTCATATATTTAAGATGCTTATTTTTAATAAATCAAGACAAGTGAATATTTTTATAGATTATTTATTCTATAATAAGTTCTTGTTATTAATATTATTAACATATTAAAATTCATTTATTTTGATTTGATTGCATAAAAGTATATATAAAGTATGTAAGTCTTGTCCTATTTTTTTTTCAATGATCTATTGCATGAAATTTCAAAAATTGGCAATGATAACATTTTTTTTTTGCATCTTTAATTTGATGAATTTATATCTATCTTTTGCAGGATTGGATATGGCGCAATTGTGGAGGGCAATATGAAGTAGCTGAGAATTGGAACTCACATATATGTTTTAATATGCAGATACCTATATGTAGAGGAATAACTTATATTAATGAAACATGGAATTTACATATTTGGTTTCTTGAAATTTCTTATTCCCGTTTTGACTCCCACTTTTTATATTTTGTTACACATGGCATGGCGATCTTATTCTGAAGATTATTTAAATTTAAATTAACTTAGAAGATTATTTTTGCCATCAAACTATTTGTTTAAGAGCCAAGCGTTTCCTATTCAATTTTGATATAATCTTCTCCTTCAACTTAAAAAAAACTTAAATTATAAGCTCAATAACCATTTAAGTTTTAACCTTAAATTCTTTTTTGATGTATTTTAAACTTTGAACATTTAAATTTGAGATAATCTAACTTCTATCATTAATTTCAAACAAACGTGGGTTTTGTGGGTCCAGAAATTCTCTTCCTGTCTACCTCTCTCTTCCTTCTCTCCCTTCGTTCCTCTCCTTTCGCTTTGCTTCTAAATCAGTGAAAAGAAGAGCCAAATATGTGGAGGAGCATAATCCCTCTTCCTTAGCCAAAACCTATGGCCCTCTCCTCTCCCTCCAGCTAGACTCTACCATCGAGAGGGATCTGGTGCAGTTGTGGCATTTCAGGAATGACAAGGTAAGAGATAGAGGAAACAAAGCGGAGAGCGAGAGGAGAGAGGAGAAGAGAGAGGGGGGAGCAGAGCGGTAGAGAGGGAGAGAATTTTTGGATCCCACAAAATGGATGTTTGCTTAAAATTATTGTGGGGATATATTGTTACAAGTTTAATTGTTTAAAATTTAAAATGTATTAACAATTTTACAATTAAAAAATAATCTAATAATAATGGTTGCAGGCAATTAATGATAGTATTTTATGATAGAAATTACTCAAACTAACTATATTTTCTAGTAATCAAATGCAGTATATTTTAAAAATAAAAAAAATAAAATAAAAAAAATTTTAAGATGCTTTTATTTTTTTTGTTTTTAAAATTAAAAAGTAAGAACAGTTTTAAAATCAATTAAATCCAAAATATTTATCCAAATAATCTTGGGACAATGACATTTTAGTCCCAAAAGACTAATTTAATATCAGTAAAGTCCCAACAAGTTGAAAAATGTTAATAAAGTCCGACGGTACATCGATTGAAAAGATAAAAACGAAATCACCCCCTCTCTGTATAGCAATAGGTGATGTGAAGGTTTTTTTTTTTTTGGAGCAAATATAGGTGATGTAAAGGTTGAAAAATCATTTCTCCACGTTTACCAATTACCCTCAAAACTCTATCTCCCTTCCTCCCTTTCCCCAACAAAATCCAAAATTCTAGCCTCTAATCTTTAAACAAAATTCTTAAAGAAATAAACATAAGCAAAATTTATGACAGAAATTTTTATTAATTACAATGATTACATTTTCCTATGAAAAGAATATTTCACAGGTTATAACTTATAAGTTTTAATATAATATAGCAAATAAATTACTAATAAATGTATTATATTAAAATTATTAGGTTAAATTAATAGTATAATATTAAAAATTTAAAATTGTTATATTTTAATATATTTTTATTTTATAATTATATATTTCATTTTTATATGGAAATAATCACTAATACATATTTTTTTTAAAATTCGTAGGTTAAATTACATTTTTTTTAAATGAAAAATTACTTGCAGCAGTAGTTGGATTTCGGTAAATTTATTTTGATTTGTTATATCATATAAAAATGCATTCCTTTCATACCACAATATAAGTCATTATTAATTGATTTATGTTTTAAAAAATTTCTTAAAATATTGATTTTCTAAAAATTCACATATTTACATTTATACCCTTGAGTGTAACAAATATAACTTTTGAATTGTTCAAAACATCCTCATTAATTACTCAATAAAGTAAAGATGTACTCCCTCCATTAAAAATATAAATCATTTTTAATTGAATCTCATCTTATAATAAAGTAATTATTTGTCTTCAAACTAATTTCATGTTTTTATATTTACCCTTATTTAATATATTTTTTTTGGGGCCAAAATTTAATACCATGGTTCACTTTAAAATAAATATAAGTGATTTATTTATTAAGAGTATTTTTAAAAAATGCACAATAATTACACTTTGAAACCCTTAAAGTGCCTTATATTTTTTAATATTTAACTATTTCAAAAATACCTTACATTTTTTAATGGAGAAAGTATTGAAATAAATATTTATATAACTTCTACCAATTATTTTATATTTTGAATCAAATAAAACTTCTAGGAAATGATTTATATTGTGCTCCAATATAAATTATATCTTGTAAAATATTTTTTTAGAAAATGTTAGTCATTATAGTTGATAAGAATTTCTGTTCATAAATTTTGTTTATTTTTTAATTTTTAAGAATTTTGTTCAGAAATTAGAAGCTAGAATTTTGGATTTTGTTGGGGAACGAGTGATAGGGAGATAGAGTTTTGAGGATCATCGTTAAACATCACCTGCTGCTTTACAGAGAGAGGGGAATGATTTTGTCTTTTCCTTTTTGATCAATGTACTCTGGGACTTTATCAACATTTTCCAATTTCTTAGGACTTTACTGGCATTAAATTAGTCTTTTGGGATTAAAATGTCATTCTCCCAATAATTTTTAAAATTTTTCTGTTTTTAAAAGCGGAAAACAGTTTTTTAAAATAAAAACTAAACACGTCCTAATTATTTAAAAAAAAAAATCCTAACTAAACTTATTTCAGGAAATATAATATGAAACTAAGTTTTAATTTCTCACGTGCTTACCTGCGGTACTCTCTTTGATTAATTTGGAAAATTATTAGGTGCATCCAGAGCTTTATGGAGATAATAACACAAGGCTTTTTGCATTTTGGACAGTGAGTTCATCAACTTCTTGGCAACCAAAATTAATGTGGTTTCTTCGAATGATCATGGTCTTCAACATATGTCACATCACCATTAAACCATTGTCTGTCTTTGGTGATAATAATTCCCAATATCACATCACCATTCTCATCAGGAAGGTACCAACATTTTTCCTTGCACATTAGATACTGACGCACTTTCTATTAACAGATTTGAATCTCATCACATGAGAACATGAGGTGTGGCTGTTGTTAGACTCTTTATATTAAGTATGCTTAAAGATAATCTACTTTATCAAAATAACTTAGGTCATTTGATTAGACACACCCTAAATTTTATATATATTCTTAATCTATCTTTTAATTTTTAAATGCGTGACTTCTTTGATTGGTTTGCCTAAATGATAGATTTAGAAAATGTTAGATCTCTTATCATTCGTAGTTAGATCTCTTATCTATAGATATTTATAATATTGGATCTCTCTAGTAGGCCCCTACCTGATTCCCAGCCTGAAGAATGAACAGGCTGCATTTTGCAACTCGCTACTTAAGCCTACTCATAGTATGCCCAAGCATTTTGGGCTGGATAGCATTAGGTTGCCTTGTCCAAGTGGCATTGCTGCCCTCCCCATGATGATATGAAAGTTCTCACTTTTATTTTTGTAGAAAAGAAAAATTCAAGGATATCTTATCCTTTAGTAATTAACAAATGTAAGGGATCAAATTAACAATTAGTGAGATTCACATCTATCAAGCTAATTTGTTCAGTTTAAAACATTAATGATTTGATGTATTTATCTTTTTGATGATAATGAGAAGGATCCAAAGAAAGGGGATTGGTGGATGTCTTATAGGAATAATATATTTGTGGGATACTGGCCAGCCTCTCTATTGCCTCGCCTCTCTGAAAGTGCAATAAAGGTACCGTGGGGTGGTGAAGTTTTGAATTCATAATCTAGGGGACAACACACCACAACACAAATGGGAAGTGGTCATTTTCCAGAAGAAGGTTTTGGAAAAGCAAGCTTTTTCAAGAAAATTGGAGTTGTTAATGCCAAAAATCAAGCTTTCCCTCCAGGCAACATTCACAATTACACTTCCAATCCAAGTGCTACAATGTCCAAATTGGTACTTCTAATGATTGGGGCAAGTACTTCTTTTTTGGCGGTCCTGGAAGAAACCCTGCTTGCCCATGATCTTTCCTATCTCATTGAAAACTCGGAAGATCGAAAGGAAAAGTGGGGGGAAAAAGTAATGTTTTGTTGTTATTGTTGGAAGCCTTTTTTACAGTACTTTCAGTTCTTTATTAACTCAATCATGTATCAACTAAGATTTGTTCGGTGAAATATATAATAAGGGCTCTTCTTTGTTATCCTGTTTATGCTGAATTCTATGCATTTATTATTTACTTATGAGTGGCAATGCATGTAGTATATAACATTGTCTTTATCATCATATCCTATGGACTTGATGTAATCCAACACAAGAGTAAGCATTGTCATTTTTTATTTCCACAGTGAAATGTTGTGTTTTAATATTGATCTTATACAATTACTCCTTCCAATCTTATTTATAAGACCTTACTTATTGCTGATTCTTAATAGATCTTTTACAAAATTTAATAATACATTTATAATTATATTCAAAAATGGTCTTGTTTCTTTCTCTCTAGTCTCTGGTTTTAATAATGGCTTTAATTTGATTAATATTAATTTTTAAAAAAGTTGTAAATATTTTTGACATTTAACTACTTTTAATTAAATGTCAAAAAGTAGTAAATGATACGGCTGATGCATAACTTTGGAAATATGGAAATTAATTTTCCCGCGGAAACACATACAAATGTATATTGCTTGCGTCTAAATTAGGCCTTTTAATGCAGTAATTTAGTCTCACTATAACCTTTTTCTCACTTCAATTGTACTTCTTATTCTAATAGGTTAATACAAAGAACTATAAATAAAAAACAATTAACTAAACTAAGGCAACAACAAATACACCAATTTGACCAAAAATATCATTCGGAAAAGAAAACTAATAATATAAAAATCTGCATATATAATAATAACTCTCTCTCTCTCTCTCTCTTCTCAGAGTTCATACATATATATGAGTTAGGAATGATCTCATGGGCAAGCAGAGTTTCTCCCTGGACCACCAAAGTAGAAGTAGGCTCCATGTTCATCATCAGAAAGTCCCATTTGAACATTATAGCAATTGAAATTGTCAGTGTAAGTGGCAACACCATTGGGAGGAGGCAGAGACTGATTTTTCCCATTCACAATTTTAATGCGACTGAAATAGCTTGATCTCCCAACACCTTCCCCACCAAAATGCCCACTTCCCATTTCTGTTGTTGTATGCTTCCCATCATCAGATGCTAAGTTTAACACTTCACCTCCCCACTGTATCGCCGTCGCGCTGCCAGAGAGGCGAGAAAACAATGAGGACGGCCAATATCCCACCACTCTATCTCTCCCATATTGCATCCACCAGTCTCCATTGATTGGATCCTGCTCACAATTTCACAAGTATGCATGCTTCATTATCAAAGGACTATATCATACAAATACAGGTGTGTATACCTACATCATATAGGACATACACCCTGATCCGGTCCAAATTGCAAGACATTTTTTTCCCTCAAATAAGCTTGGTCTAAAATGTAGGACACTTAGCATTGTTCGAAATCATTTTACCAAAACTACCCTTGTATTAATTGATGTGGCTATGAGAAATATAGTCTAACTAAACACTTATTTTCATTTTCATAATAAAAGGGTTAAGGGCGAAAGACGAACGACGACATGTCAATCTTTTCATAGAAGTAAGGAAATAACTGCTTTTTTTTTA